ACACTGACATATAAGGAAGTGCGCTGGAATCGAGTGGCTTGACATCATACTGGCGTCATGTTATAATGCGGTACGCGGAAAGGCAGGTTTCTGGCTCTTCATGTCGCTGTTCATTGGGCGAGCAAGATGCCTATACCTATTTGTCTCGATGATCAACGGTAACTGATGTAATTTTAAATAATCATAAGCAGGGTCATTGATCTTTCGAACAGCAGCAGCATTTTTCCCAATTTAGGTAGTTTATCAAGTCACCAAACTGGGCCGTGATAAGACAACCCACTGGTGTTGTCCCTCCTGTGGTGAGGTCACCAATCACCAACCATCAGCTGCCGCGCGGCCATCGGCCCCGGCCAGCGACCAGCCGGACTGACGACCCCCAGTCGGGGTCAGCGGCTGTTCATACATAGTCGTGCACCCTGCACACAACGGTCCGCTAGCGGTGTGAGACAGCTGCTACCTTACACCCGTCTGGTGACGTGGTTTGGACATGACATACTACTGAGTCAGCTGAGGGAGCGTAAATCAGTCAGCCAGGAGCAATCACTCAGGGCTGTGAGATCCATATGGGGGAGAAGATTGATCGAGTACCGATAAAAAAACGCAGGTCAATCAGAATCAGAGATCACAATTAACAGATGTGTGGAGTGCAGAATAATTGACCATTGACAGCGGCAAATTAAGATATTCAACAACCGAACGTCCCAAATTTGATGAAAATACAGCTGTTCAGCCAGAGGGTTAAAGTCACCGAATGAGACACGTTCGATGACTTGTAAATAGGCTACAGGAATGACCAGTGATCAATGCATGGAAAGAACGCTGCGGGGGCGGGAGAGGGAGTGGTCAACAAAGCATCACCACAAGATGTAAGTGTGGCGGGACGGGCTGGACGTCACTCGTTAGCGGGGATGACTAGTGGTCAGCTGATAGTGACGTCATGCAACTAAAAACGTCCTTCATTGCGGAACGATTTCACAACATAGACCTAAGACCACCATCGAAGAGAATGTGCAGAAGTGAAACAATGATCGCATTTTTATTGATATTTCTTGAATGCACCGGCAATGCTTGCATTATTAGTGATCTTACATGATAAATGGAAGCTTTGACATGCTACCGCAATTGATTAATCACTTAAGCATACTTGGATGACACACCACTGACTGTTTGATTCCCCTCTGTCTTCGCCTGATACCATGTCGATAAATTGACACCGTATAAGCCCGTGACCACTCCTGAGCCTTCCAACCCGCTGTGCCTGGCTGTACCATCCTCCTCCTTCTCGCGATGCCCTCGGGCAACGACCAGATCTCGTCAGTCCCGTCCACCCACCTCTAACCCTGGCCACACCTAGCAGCACCCTGTCAGAGCCATGAGCCCTCCAAGGCCAGCAGTGCCAGTGCCGTGGACTGGAGCTGTGTGTGGGAGTCCACCGCGATAACCCGGAGACGACCCCACAAAAACGCCTCCGACAGACCCAAACGGGCTGGCCGCGCCATCAGTTTCCTGCTAAGCGACGGCTTAAGGAAGCTGGAAAAATGCGCCGTCGTGTTATAAAACTACCAAATGACCGCATTTGGTGCGATATGCCTGCATGGAAACCGGTTTGTTGGTAGGAGCGAAGTCATCGCTCGCAGCCTTGGAGTGACACCGTTAGGGACAGAGCCGAGGAGAACCAATCGTCCCTCAGGAAACATCATCGAAGGGTTGGTGAATGCATTTGGAGTTTGTCACCAGAGAGCGGATATATGTAGAGTTCACCAAACCACACAGCAACAGCGAGAAATTATGACACTTTGTTAATGCTCCCCAAGACAGAGACACTTTTTGCTGCAAGAAAGAACTCCGAGCCCGACCAACAACAAGCATACCTTCTTGCAATGTTTTGTGTAATTTTACGTAAGATGTTTTTGTTATGCGTTTATGCTGTTCACCTACGCAACACATTAACAACGGCCAAGTCATAAGGTGACGGCTCCTTGCCATAACTACTCGGCTACTCTAGGTTAGAGCACTTGCAATGCGCATACTTAGCTAGAAGTTATGTCCCCAAAGTAAAATGCGATTGGAAGACGGCCAGTAGTGAGTAGAGATCCAAAACTCTAGTAAGTGCGACCGTATCGAAATACTTAATTATAGTGCGAAGAAGTATCAAAATGATTGCTTGAGTAGAGCCAAACGTTTTCCCGATCTGTTTGCAAAGATGTTCTCAAAATAATATTATAAGATGTGCATAACTAGTAGCGATTTTCACGACGGCTATCTGGTACACATTTGGTACAGATTTGGTGCAGATTTGGTCAGATTAGGTTTATGGTGTTTCTAAGTTGCTATCAATTTGGGTTGCACAGTTGCTTATATATCTGATTTCTCAAATGATCAGGCATTGTTTCTGATTAGAACACTGAAATGATATGATGCGTTCATGATATGAAGATATTCGTTGAAAAAGACATTTCGTGCATATTTGGTAAAGTTTGGTGCATTCGCCAGATAACCCGTCGTGAAAACGGCTATAAAGTCAATTGCAATGTTGCAAACATATCTAGCTGGGAAATCCGTTGGCTCAAAACGGAATTGGAACACGGAACAGCGTTGAACAGTTCAGGTAAAGGCCAAGTTTAAGTCGGACCAATTAGATGCACTTCTTACCTATTGTGTCACCGTAATAAAAACATTCAACAGATGTCATTGTGACTAACTTTGCAGTTGTATAAACGCAATATGATGCAGATCATTCATAAAAAACTATGTGCTTGGCAACGAGGCTGTGAGTGCGAAGCGTCGTATATAGCCACCATCTTTCATACCAGCTTAATGTTAGACACAAAATAAGTCGATCGTCGAAGCACATTGGCTAATGCGGTTGATGCATCTGTAACTGCATTTCTCCTACACGCTGTTGTCGCTGCCGCTTGCTACGCCCCTTTAGACACTAGCCCTCAAGCCTCATGTGATGTTGAATATGATCCAGGTGGAAATGAATCGAACAAAATGTTACGTAATTTTGGATTATGTCTGACAATGCTGTCACGTTCCATGTTGCAGTATTTTGCTTCATCCAGCGTTCTTCATATATCTCATATAATTATAGTCTAGACCCTAGACTTTCCGTAGTTTTCGTCGAGTTCGCCCCTATATCCCCCGCGGTCATATCAGCCAGGTGTGACCAGCAGCCCCAACCCTGTCGGGCCCGTTTACAGCCCCCTGTCGGTGGCTCAGGGTCCGGCACCGGCACCGCGCGCCAGCCGGGGCTGTGGGCGGGCCGCTTGGCGACCCCAAGGCTGTCAGGGCGGCGACTGGTACGGCCGCCGCTCCGCCGCCTCCGCTGCAGGATGCGGCCTGTTCGCCCGGCCGTCAGCCGTGCGAAAAATCCCCTCCCACGCCGCAGCCCAGGCGCGGCAAACAACACCACAGCGCGCCGGCATCGCATCACGTCGGCGCGATGGCTCTGAGCGACTCGGCACGCGTTATGAGCGATGACCGGCACGCGTCGTGTCGGTCTCTTACGCCACCCGCCGCTACCCCCGTGGCGCAATAGAGCCGCAGGGAAGACATGTCGACGATACACGAGGTGGGAATTGTATCACGGGCGTGAGGCTCTCGGAGGTCACAGCGAGACGGGACAGACACAGAGATGTTATCGCTCAGTACAGGACACCATCGCGTTGCGCCAGGGCGCCGCAGATTCCTTACCAGCAGGCATGTGTCCAGTGGTGTCCTCATGGCTGGGTGGACGGTCGGACGCGCGGTCGGTCGGGCACTCGGGACGGTCGGAGTGTGCCGCGCGAACACACTTGGCACGAGTCAGCTGCACGTGCTGGGTGAGCTGCACGTGTCACCAGCGGCCGCACGGCTGTGATATCACACGAGTTGGAGGAGGCGACACGAGCCCGCGCTACGCCATCCTAGCTCCGACTGAGGCCTTGTCGAGCCGCCGCCGCCGCCGCCGCCACCGCCAGGTGAAAGCAAAAGCAGCGGCGGCGGCGGCGCGGCGGCGGAGGCGGGGGCTCGAGCCCGTGGAGGTCACAGCCAAGCCTTCGCAGCGCCATCAGCAGAGGCGGCTCAAGCGGTGCAGGATAAGAGGGCTCCACAGTGTCGAGTGTAGGTGGAAGGGGCTGAGAGGTGGCCGTCTTCCTGGTTATAACCGCCCGTGAGCGGACGCCGTCTGAAGACGTTCCAGTGCGTTTAACGAGCGACACCCACGACCTGACCTTGAGCGCGCCTCTGCACATTCTGCCGCAGTTCACGGACCTCTTCAGACACCAAGGATGAGATGAGCTAGACCATAGTCATAGATTTGTTACTGTTTAAACAAAACACACGTTCGAGATTAAAAATGCGATACCCAAGGTCAAGCGCATAAAAATTATGATACGTTTTGGATACGTTTACATTGCAATCAATCGCTGGATGATAATTGATAACGCTCACTAAACAAACATGCTTCCTGTAATGTCAGTGCGGCTGGACCCTCAGAGCAGTGATGGTTAAATTCCTTAGTAATTTCGGCTTCCGTGCATGCTGAATAAGTCCGGTACTACGCCCAGTGCGATGAAAATTAGCCGGATCAGACAGCAGTAATCAGTGGAACTTAGTGGTTTTACCGACACGAAACAGCTTGCGCTGGACCTACCATTGGATGCTGAACTTGTCTGCGAAAATCTGCTTTGTGTACCGTTTGTTCATTGTCATAACTTGCGGATGAAAAGTGAATACCTTGTGTCATTAAAATACGAAAATAACAATAAATAAGTGAAGTCGACTTACCATTTTAACGTCTCTCTCCTCTCGACTCTCCTGTCTGTCCAAAGGTCCGGTGATCCAGTAGCTGTCAAGCTAGACCGTCCTCCGTGGTTTAGGTCTGCTTATGCGGTATACAGAGATCTCTGATAATTTTTATCATTAAATTGCTAAAAAGGTAGCTAACGTTTGCTTTCAAACCTGTTGGTGAGGCTGTTAATACACATTCATTTTTCATACAGAACCAACTTGCAAAAATGGAGGAGGCAATAGTTATATTACAGAATGACACCAAACACAACTGAGTGTCGCGAAGTGCAGCTGATCGGCCGCCGGGGGGCGGTCACGGAGCGAACATGTGCACCTGTTGCGGAGACCGAGCCGACTCATTAGCGCTCCGGTTGAGCATCGCCGAGCGCCGCGCAGCCAGCGGCATATGTTTGGCCAGCAGCAGGTTATAGCTGGCGGCCACCTGTCTGCCCAGACCTGGCAGCCACACCACCCGGCCGGAGTTGCGGCTCTCTAGCACGCTGAAGCCGCGTCGGTGCAGGTCTGCGAGCAGCTGCCAGGCGCGGCGGTACGCCTCCAGCGCGGGCTGGCTCAGCGCGGCCGGCCGCAGCGTCAGCACTAGCTGTAGCTGCATCACCTGGCCGGCCAGCAGCTCCAGCTCGTCCGGGTCCGAGTCCGTGAGGGAGCGCAGGGCGGCCGGCAGCCGGGAGGCGGCGTGCGCCGAGAAGTCGGCCGTCACTCGCAGGTGGTGTATGAGCCTCTCGGTGTGCCCCAGACGCGTCACCAGCTCGGGGAGTCGCACGTACTGGCGGCCGGACGACAGCCGGTGGTAGGTCACCGAACCGTCACCCAGCTGCACGTGGCTGGTGGGACCGCGCCGACCCGTCAGGTCAATCAAGTGCACCTCGCAGCCCAGCTCCTCAGCCACGCCTTGCTCGAAGGCGTCATCATCGCTGTCGTTCGTGTGCCTGACGCTGTAGACGAGACAGTCTGTGACGCGCCACATATCGACAGGCTCAGAGAGACAGAGCGCCGGCTCCTCCCAGCTGGTACGGCGGCTGAACCGACCCAGCTGCCGGCACGCGGCCAGCGGCGTCTCCAGATAGTCGAAAAACTGACGGTACAGGTTCAGAGAGAACGCTGGAGCTTCAGGTAGCTCGTCGTAGTCGTAACCACGACTAAACCTGTCGGCACATGGGAGTCGACATGTACATATGTACGCTCAACTCGAAGTTGGTGCTTACATACAAACGATATTGGTCAGTTAGAACGGTGACTGCGGCACGAGTCAGCTAAGCGGTCTCGTGCCATAGTTACTTGAGCGCATGCAGGGCTCTGCCGCTCTGCACCTTTGATCACCCTGGCTTATCGCCCAAAAGTCGACTTTCTGGTAAATAGGATCGCTTATTATACACCTTTTTGCGTTGTTCGATGGCCAATCAGCAAAACCCATTCGTCCGATCAGCACATAGGTGGCGCCAGTGAGAGGCATTCCGGCAAAACCTTCAGCATATGGGCAAAACGGAATGCTGATCCCACTCCACAGTTCGTCAGTTGGTATTACCTTCGCTATTCGCCATAACTGATTGAGTTCCGGCAAAACCTTTGACGATTTGGATAAATGTTTCGTCATTCGTTAATATCCCTTCGTCGTTCACCAAAACATCCCCACACTGAAAATAAATTCACACCCGCTCCTGGTGTTTACACCTTTTTAGGAAATGTTTACACCCCACCGTTTTTGAGCACCTGCACCGGTGTAGTTTCAACGCCAAGCTTTGGTGTAAGCATACACTGAATCCTGGTGTAACACCAGGCACATACACTGGCGTATGGCGTTAAATCACTGTAAGTACACCAGTTTGTGGTGCTACACGACGTCTTTACACCATAAAAAGGTGCTACACCATTAATTTGCACCTTCTTTACGGGTACAAAACAAATAACCTTACACCAATGTGTGGTGTTAGTAGCCAATTGGGTACACCCTCTTCCGGTGTTGTGAAGGAGATACACCGGTGTTTGGTGTAGCTGCAGCTCGATGAATTAATATATATATATATATATATACGTGTGCATGGGTCTGTGTGAACATATGTGACAAGTCCATATGGGTATACTGTGGCTTGCCTAGACCCCATACAAAGCAAAGCATTCCTTAAATAAAGACAATTTATTTTGTAACGTCCGAGACGAGCAATAAACAAATGTTATTAACAAAAATTGCGGCAACTGTGAGTGGCGCTTTCTCAAGTGCACGGGTGGTCACCGGACTCTGCTGACAACATACCAGACCAGACATTTATCTCACACTTATTTATCACACTTATTTATCACACTTATTTATCACACTTATTTATCACACTTATTTATCACACTTATTTATCACACTTATTTATCACTTATTTATCTCACACAGGGCTGCGGAGTCGATGGATTTTCGGCGACTCCGACTCCGACTCCGGCTTTCAAAAACCAGCTCCGACTCCGACTCCGGGCAGAATTGTCGACTCCGACTGACTCCAACTCCCGACTCCGACTCCGCAGACCTAGCAGGGCTGCGGAGTCGACAGATTTTCGGTGACTCCGACTCCGACTCCGGATCGGGTTTCTAAAAGCGACTCCGACTCCGACTCCGACTCCGGTCACAACTGTCGACTCCGACCGACTCCGACTCCGACTCCGACTCCGACTCCGCAGCCCTGATTCTCACACCACCTCCAGTCTCCACACAGCCCCGCATCACTCGACTCAAACTGAAGCGCGAATCAACACGCCGCCGTTCATTTGAATTTACGCATGTGCACGCGCAGCCGCTCGCGCTGGCCGGCGGCCGGCTGACCTTGAATCCAAGGCCATATCCGATCCATGGTAACGGTGCTAGTAACACCGTTTAGAGATCAATGAACTGGGAGCTACACCATTGTGTGGCGTATGCGATATAACGTCTCTGTCACGGGGTGTTGACACCAAATGGTGGTGTTATTTATCCGTAGCGTCGGTTGGTCTGAGGTGGCATTGGTGTTAATTGTCGGTGTTGATTTTGAACACCGAGTAATTGCACCATTCTTCGGCGTTACACCCCACAGTTACACAGTTGAGTTGTGTTACACCCTACCAAAACGCCTCTCATTGGTGCTTTTTTTTCGTGTCACCGGCACGCGAGTGTTAATTTATTTTCAGTGCATGCTAATTTCGGCATTCCTCATAACATTTCGTCAAAACTAAAAACAGATCGCCCCTTTACAGAGAAGTATAAATATGACCGCGTTTATACAGTGCAGTGCGAGGCATAGGTGGCGAAACTCGTAGACCATTGATCCACATAAAAATCGGTAGCGTTCATGAGCGCCATAGGTACAATGTAGATGGACGTAGCTGACATGTTATCGGCTGATTGATATAAGTGGACAGGCAACAGAGCAACAGGCTGGATAAGTTAACCCCGCCTCAAACACCAAGGAACAGGCAACAGGCTGGATAAGTCAGCCCCGCCCCAAAAAACCAAGGTGTTCGGCCGGCAGGGCCCGGCTTGCTTTCTGTCAGCCATTCCCTCGCAAGTCCGACCGGCGCGGCCGCCCGAAGCGTTGTCCCATGACATCGCTCGGGCAGTGACGCGATAATGACGGCCGACTTCGTGGTTTGTATCGAAGCGTTTAGGAGTCCGACGCTCAAGAACCTACATGCCTACTCGGTATGGCGCCGGCAGTCTCCTCGTAGCTATGACATAACTGCCTTTTTTCGGAATTCAATGGTTAATTGGTTGCAAATTGCGCTGGAACTGTCATAAGCCTCATCCCTGAATGCGTGATTAACGTTAAACATTGAATATGGCTAGATAAGCACTACATCATTGACATTTTGATCATTGACGGAAGTTTTAAATAAACGGAAGTCATTGTTTACGCACAGTACCGATGAATTTTGCACATCGACTAACCATTTTGTGAAATGTCGAAGCATTATGACAATCTGACAAAGTGTTTTGCTTATTACGAACATTGTGCTCAATGACAAAGAGTTATGCAGAATGGTTAAATGGAGTCCAGCCTGTTTTGCCGACCGTCAAACAGTGATGCACGTCGCCGATGGGTTATTCTGAATGACGCTTGTCCAAACTGATGCCGAATTGGTTATGACGATTGGCCATCGAACAACGCAAAAAGGTGTACTATGTTGAGTTTTAAACCCGTTTACTTTACGTTCACCAAACTTACGTATGCGGACTTTGGCTAACACGAGCTGCGTTCGCTACTCACACGTTCTCATACTGGAGGAGCGACGCGATGCTGATGACCAAGGTGACGGCGCAGAGGGCCCCCAGCACTTTGAGGAGAACCGTGCGGCGACCGGCCCGCAGGAGCATCGCTACACGCGATCACCTGTGGCCACCCACACCGTGCAGCTCAGTGATTAGCGCCTCTGGCCTCTTGTGTAGCTTTATATTTACTGTAGGTATCCATAGTTATCATGTCCACAGTACTATTGTGCCCACAATTTTCATGTCCACAGCCCATCGAATCCATACCTATATGTTCACAGTCATCGCGTAATGTTACGTTCCTTTCACGTTGTCCACTGTACCTTCCTGGCAAAAAGGGGCGCCCACTACACCATCATCACCCATAAGCAGAACTTTTACCTACCTGGCGGTGGCCCGCTGCGCTGGCCGGAAGCTGTCCTGTCCGCTCGGCCCGCTGTCCTGTCCGCTCGGCCCGCTGTCCTGTCCGGTCCCCGCCTGCCGTGACCCGCTGTCCTGTCTGCGTGGTCTGCTGCCCTGTCCGCGTGGCCTGCTATTCTGTCCGCGTTGCCCACTGCCGTCGTAGTCCACTGCCATTTTCTGTTGACTGTGTAACCCTGCTTGGCAACTTGGCCGCTCGACAGCATATCGACCTGACCAGCACGGCGCCCCGCGCCTCGGTTCCGGTACTTACATGCTCCGACGCCCCGCCTCAATTTTGGCCCTGGCTGAGTCACCAACGAGCCGTCGGCCTATTTTCATATCCAGGTATCATTGTGGTCAACAAGAAGACTCAAACAATGCTTTTTTAAACTGGGATCCCCCACTGAGGCTTCGGTGAAAAGGTTGTACCTACTTGGGCCGAAATCAGAATTATTACATGGCTCCTGTGTTAATTTGGCATGATATATTTTTTGCTATTGCCCGGCATCAGGTTACTGACCTTTCAGTGTCAGGTTACTGACCTTTCTGAAGGTGAGAAGCGGTTGCCATGTCAACGGTCAATAGTAAGTTGCTCGCGCAGTGGTGTTTGAACAAAAATTCAAATGTCGTAATTTTATCGTCGTTTTCTCAGACTGTTCAGTTTGATTTCGTGGTTGGCTAGTCAAGTCATCAAGCACTGGGCCGTCATTTGAACATGTCCGTTCAAATACCCCGATTTAACTTGTTGGAACCGCATGAATTGGATGAGCTATTTTCATCGCGCAGGGCTCAGGGCACTAAAAAGGTGATTAAATCAGCAGAAGACGTCTTCATTGAGTTCTTACAAGTAAAAGGCATATCTGTTGAAAGCTGCATGCACAGCAACGATGTCCTGGACAACGCTGTGAAGGAGTTCTTCATTACTGTAAAACGCAAGGACGGCGAACGCTACAAATTGAAGAGTCTCCACACTCAAGTACGGCGTGAAACAGAAAACAGAAACAGAAAACAGAAAACAACTAAGTGTGTGCCGTAGACATGTGACGTGGCTATGATTGTATATCCAATACATTCAATTGTACCATGATATTTGTGTTTGGATATTTTTTTATTACGGGATGAATGAGTAGGTACTAAGTAAAGATTCCGAGAGTTGGCCATGTAATAAAACGAATACTGCATGGGGGAGCGGGCAATAGCAAAAATATTGCCCTCTGTAACGTCACTGTCGCCCTCGGGTGAAGACCTCCACAAGTGCTATTGCCCTCGGCTTCGCCTCGGGCAATAGCACTTGTTTCGGTCTTCACCCTCGGGCGACAGTGACGTCACATCGGGCAATATTTTTTGCTATTGCCCGCTCCCCCATGCAGTATTCGTATAATATGTGTCATGAGAATCCACGTGCCGGAACTAAAATGCAAGCACACGTGGCATCCATCAACGAGCACCCGGGGAGCTTGCCATCCCCAGCTCGTCACATTTCAGCCCTCACAGGTGATTTTTGTCATATAAAATTAAAAGCTTTTTATCCGTCCTAGCCATCCTCAGAACAAACCCAGCCGCATCTCCCATAAGCTTCCCTTTCCGGGCTGGCGGTTGCCCCCGCAAGACAAACGCAACCAACAAAAGGTAATGACGGCAACCAGGGGCGCCGCCACGGATTTTTGACTGGGGGGGACGGACTGACCGACTGAAAACCCAAAAATATACATTCTTACCGTGGCTTTTTCGGTCCGATGTATTGAACGTTTAAAGCAAATATGCCACTTTTAACATAGGGTTTTAAACTGAAGTAACAGTTTTGTAGCTTGAGCTGAGACAAGAATTAACAAATCAAGAGCTTTATATGGTCCAACGATCACCCTAGCCAAAGATATCGGTATCGATTTTAGGTTTCAAGACTGAAGTCATCCCCATAGACTACACTTTGTCATTCCATTACCGAGGAATCCATTCCCTTACGGAAAAATGCTAGCCAATCAGCATTCAGCTGGTTTGAACTACGTAATACGAGTATGCTTGGTCAACGCGTAATCAGCTTCCGCTGCAATATAAGTAGTCTCTACGAAAGATGGCAAACAGTTCTTATGTAAAAATAAAGTAAAATCCTCTTTGCAAATATTCATTATGTTATTTTCTGACCATTTTAAGCATAAAAATTCATAACTGTGGCAACAACTGGTTTGATGAAAGTAGTTAAGGTATGGCTACAGACCAATTTCCCACCAAGTACCTATACCTATATACACATCCGATGTCCGATTCAATTTGACACGGCAAAACCTCCAGTGCTCTATCAGGCTATAATTGCTGATCTATGCCACTAATCTGATCGGTAATGCATATTGCATAGGAAATGCATATTGCATACCCGCGTGGGGGAGGGGGCGTTGTATAGTAACAATCTCTCTTTTTGGATGTACATGAATCGGCGCGAAGCGCCGCGAAAATTGGCAAAAAACATCAGGCAAAACTGCTCCAAAATACGGATTTTGCAGCCAGTGTAACAAGCTTGATACCAGAAAACCTTGGGTCAGGTCACCAAGTGAAGTAGTCAAGTCGCCTCAAAGTTTTGCTGTCCTCTCAACCGTATAGCTTATTTCTTAGAAGCTGGAAATTTAGTGTCGTGTGACTGCAGAACTGTGGGGTCGGAGCCGGAATCAGTCGGAGTTGATAGTTTTGGCTAGAGTCGGAGTTGAAGTCTTCGAAGTTGTTCGGATTTTGACTCCGATGTCGGATTGGTTTAAAGTCATGCTCTAAAGTCGTGTTTTAAAGGCTGGTTTAACGAAATATACGAGCATTAGGCCCATTTTCGGCCAGTCGTGTTATACGACGCACGTTGATCACGATATCAAAAATCGGCGGTTCCGCGATGACAGGTCGGATAAGAGCTGGAGATTTTGTTGGCCGAGGTGTCAGGGGTCAGACCAATGCATGTAGGCCCACACCCCATATACTGAGTATGTAAACCTCCTGGACCCTCTCAGATTCGGCACCGTTCTATCTCTTCCATCCTCAGGACAGTCAAATCCTTCTCCTCCACGCCGCAACCCCCTGCTCCGGGCTGGACGGGCAACTATCCCATGCAGGAATGGCTCCACTGGAGCTATAGTCCTTTGCCGGGTGCAGTGAATGCCAGTGGGCTGGGCTGCCTGTTCAATTGGTCGGTTTCAGCCCAATTGTGGCTCACTGGGGTGGCTGCCCAGACCGATATCTCCCACTAATTCTTTCATCCTTCCGGCTCTGAAATGGTCTCATTGGACAAAAGGGCCTAAGCAAATTTCGAGTAGGTATGGATAACAACCAGTAAAACGCCTTTTGGGGCGACCAACGGAGCGAGCGAGAGGGTGGGCCTTGCACGAGCAAAATTGCAAGGGCGTACCTCCAACTAACTTGTGCACTGCACCCTACTAACCGGTCCCTAACGATGTGCCAAATTTGAGCGCAATCGGCTTAGCCGTTCTCGAGCTCTGGTCTGGAAAGCGGCACCCTGCACGTGCTCACGTGCAAAATGGGTCCCAACTCCCAACTGAATTTTGCACGGTACCCTACTAACCGGTCCCTAACCATGTATCAAATTTCAGCACAATCGGTTCAGCCGTTCTCGAGATCTGGAATCGACCCCTGCACGTGCGCACGTGCAGCAGCACCCCAACTGTAGCACATGAATATGCATTGCCTAGTGGGTACCTACCTATACATGCCAACTTTCAGCGCAATCGGCCCAGTAGTTACCGAGATATTGCAATTGTTACAAAACTGACACCTCTTCATTTTTCACGTGGCACGTGCATAAGGGGTCACCCACATGCATCAGGAATAGTCCAACACTTAGAAGGAATAAAGCTACCCTACCGAAAATTATGGCATGTAATTCGGTCAAGTGGCTGCCGAGATATGAACCTCGCAAAAGCGTGCCGGCCGCTCATACTCAGAAATTTCAGTTATCTACGAAAGACTAAGCTCGCTTCGCTCGCTCCGTAATGAGTTTGGGGGGGACGTCCCCCTTCCATTCTGAGAGTGGGGGGGACGCGTCCCCCCCGTCCCCCCCGGTGGCGGCGCCCATGACGGCAACTCCTCCAGTGTGCACCCTCTCCGAGGTGACTGAGCTGCAGGATGTGCTGTCCTATCGGCACATTATATCGTTCCACCGGGACGGTCTCTGCTGCTGCGGCTCACTGTCGGTGGTCCGCACAGTCCAACGTCTATGTACGAGGGGGTATCGAAAAGTTCTGATCATCACATAGAAGATATAGACCGATTTTGATGATTTTTGGTCGGTATTATATTTGGTTCTCAAGAACAATGTTCCCGCAAAGAAAATCCTGAGAAGTGGTTTTATCTTATGTAGGAGAGACTTAGAAGTAAAAAAGATGAGTATTGGGCCCATTGAGGACCAAACCGTCATCCAACTAATGCATTTGAAACGGTATCACACTGAGAAAATACATCAAGAACGTGAAATTAGTTTATGGCGAGGAAAGCCCATCTCATGCACTTACCGAAAATGAAGAAATAATTTTCAACTTGGTTGCATGGCCTTTGCAGGGGAGTCAAGAAGTGAGTGACTACCAGTGACTGACAAGGTGGTGACTGTGAAGGAAGTGGAGGACCTCATCCTTACAGATCGTCGTGTGACCTTTCAGATGATTGTGCAACAGAAAGGTCTCAATGCTGGCAGTGCCAGCAAATATTATCAGCGAAGAACTACAGACGATAAAAGAGTCAGCCCGCTTAGAAGTTCGTGTGTCTACTTTGTTCAAGAAAAAAAATGCGTCTTGGCCTTTGGAAACGAAAACTAGGTCTTTTTTAGGAAATTGAAGACATCTTCGATCATTTGATGACTTATAACGAATGCTGGGTCTATGTTTATGATCCAGAGACAAAAAGATGATCAGGAAGTTTAAGCACGGCACATCTGTCCTTCTTAAAAGGCGAAGATGCAGAAGCTGATATGGAAGGTCAATGCTATCAGTGTTCTGGATCTGGTGTAGGAAAGTCATTACCGACTGTCTTGATGATGGTTGGATAATGATAAGCAAGCACTACTGCGCACTTATGAAGAAGTTGCGAGATGGCCTCGATCAGAATCGCCGCCAAAAAGCCCAAGAAAGATGTTTTATCCGCACCGACAGCGCCCCCGCCCATTCGTCCTGAGCTGCGATTGAAGAAACAACAGGATGTGGACATTAACTCCTACCGCATCTAACAAATTCACCTGATCGGGTATTAACTGACTCTTGATTGTTACGAGAGATGAAGAATCCACAGTATGACCGGTGATTTAAGGACAGAAATGACGTCATTGATGAGGTGGAGCAGTGATTTACGGGACAGTGCGAAGGTCCTACAATGACCGCCTGAGGCAGTTCAAGAAACGATGCAATCAGTTTGCGGTCGTGTGTGGTGACTTGTGAAGGAGTAATGAACATCATGTAAAAAAATCAAATTTCTATCACATCTAATTCATGGTGATGATCAGAACTTTTCGATACCCCCTCGTACAGTTAAAGTCTTATCTTATGATGACCTCTTTAGACCAACTTGCTCTCAACAAAACAAAACAAACAATAGCTGAATCAGTAATTGTTGTAGTTAATGTCAGCCCGTTTTCATTGGCAATTGTAAACCGTTACAGACTACAGTGCACCTTTTTGCATTATTGGATGGTCCATTGAAAAGGCA